CGGCCAGGGCCGACTGGCCATGCCGTTCTCCTAAGGGGGAGGGCTGGCAGGGCGCGCCAGCCCGAGACGGTGCCGCGCGGGCCTTCCTCGAGGCGACGGCCCCCGAGTCCTCCAAGGCGTTCCCGGCCGGTGCTCGTCGAGGCGGCGCCGCTTCTGCGGCCGCGGCCTCGGCGAGCGCGCGAACTGGCCGGAGCAAGCGCTGGGCCACAGGGAGGCCCGGCAGGCGCAGGGGAGCCCGAGGAGGGAGGCGGCGCCGCGCGCGAGCGGGAGCCGCCGGCATGCATTTTTTGGTCTGCGGGGCGAGAGCGAACCTCTTCCGATAAAAGCTAGGCGGGCTACGCACAGCTCTAATTGGGGAGACAGGGCACACCGCCGTCGGCATGCATGGAATCCTGGCAGGGCGGCGCCGATGCACAGAGTCGGGGGGCACCAGACGCAGCCCGGCGCCACGGCTCCGTCCTGCTCGGCTCCGGGGTCGGCGGCGCCGAGGCGATGGCGGGGCCACGTGGATGAAGGCCGCCCTCGGGGCCTCTCGTGCGGGAACGGCGCCCGCTCTCCGTGCCATGTTCGGACTCCTCTCGGGGCCCGCTCCAACGCGGTACGGTGCACAGCTGATCTGCCTTGAGCGGCCACAGGCCATGCACCGTGCCGTGCCCGGGTCGAGGATCGACGACGCCTCGAGAGACGCCAACGCGTTACGGCGCACACGGGTCGCCCAGGGAACTCGATGAGATGGACGGCCAGGACGCTCTGCCGCTGAGTAGCCTCTGCCATACCTCGGCCGCCTTCCTCGGGTCGAGGGTGCAGATGCAGGCGCGCACAAGGGCTGGCGCACTCTGTGGGGATCGAGGCGGCCTTCTGCGGTGCCGCCGTGCGCTGCGTGGCCAAGTCGCTGGGCGAGCGGTGGCAGCAGAAAGTGGGCTCTCGGATCACGGGCGCCTGCCCTCGTTCCCAATATCCCCTCGCTCACCTCCCCTTTCGGCTCGCCTGCCCTCCCCTCCCCTTGCCAGCGTTGGCCTCCCCACCTTGAGAAGACACACGTGCCCGGCTCCGTCGTAGAGCGAGCCCGTCGCGACCCCAGCTGGGAGTCCTGCTCTCGCTGAAGGAACACATGTGAACAGTACAACGCGAAGAGGTCCATCACAATGAAGCGCCACACAGAGGCATTGCATAGCCAAGCATAGCATGGCATTGCAAGCACGGCATAGGATCAGCACTCGCCCCAACTAGTAGCATTGGCACTGGCTTTGGCCCCAAGAGCCCCCAAGTGACCCCCGAGGCACCCCCAAGAGGCCCCAAGAGGCTTCAAAGAGGCAACAAAGATGCCCCCAAGAGGCCCTCGAGAGCCCACATGATGCCCTCAAGAGCCCTCCAAGAGGCCCCCGAGAGGCATCCTAGGAGACCCTCACATGCATCCCCGAGGCTCCTGACCCACAGGCCAGGCGCGGTGGCACGACTCTTCACGAATTCACTCAACGGAAGTCGGCGGAATGGCGTAAGCCTCTTGAATCAGCGTTGGCACTGGCGTTGCTGCGAGGCCGGGATACAGTCAACCCGTATCATAAGGATGCACGAAAAGAATGCAAAGACCTTGGACGGCCAAGTTGATGTTTTTCGATCCAGGCTGGCCAGTGAAAGTCGCTAAGGATAGGCCGAAGGAGCAAGGATGCAAGGGTACCCTTGAGAAGGTTGCCCATCCTTACTATGCGGGCTGACTGTATATACATATTCACTGCCTGAGACGCCGATGTCCTGGGACCTGGGGCCAAAATACATCCATATCCCCCGCCCGCTGGGGTCCCCGAAGACTGCTCCCTCAGGCGGAAGTTGTGTATAGATTCCCGCCTCAGCGTTCGCATGGCACAGCGCAGCAGAGCCGAGCACAGCACGGCACTGCACGGCACAGCTGCGCCCAGCCCCGCACGGCCTGGCCAACGGCACAGCGCAGCACCGCACGGCGCAGCAGGCCATCCGCGCCCGCGGCCTGCGCGCACCGGCCGCAGAGCCCCCCTGTTGGCGGCGCGCACAAGGGGGTAGCGGGAGGGAGGAATAGGAAGGCACCGACTATACACCAACACCGATCCTGGCCAGGATCACCCTGGGCCCAGGATCGGTGTATACGCCCTCATGCCTTGCGCAAGAAGGCGCATATACACCGATCCTGGGCCCAGGGTGATCCTGGGCCAGGATCGGTGTTGGTGTATAGTTGGTGCCCTCCGAAGGAAGGCTTCTTCGAAGGAAGGCGCCGGCCCTGCATCTGCAGATGAGGCCCGCGCCTTCTGAGAAGCAGGGGTGCTTCTAAGACACCTCCCCCCCGCCCCCAGCCCCCCTCTGCGCGTGGCCGACCCTGGCGCGGCGACGGGCGGGAGAGCGCCTGCTCCTCTCCGTGGGACAAGCAGCAAGCCCGTGGGCAGACATGGTCAACTAAACGCAGGCAGCACGACGGGACGCGAGATTTAAGACGGAACCAGGACAAGGGTAAAAGCGGGCGAGGGTAAGTCGGGAACCCCTGAGAGCTAGCGGCTCTGGAGGATGTCTCGGGCGCCGCATCCTTCCCAAAGCGTTCCGAAAGGCTCCGAGCGCGTTCAAGGACGCTCTGGAACGGATTTGGCCCCGTCCTCCTAGCCCGGCTCGAAGATTGTGCTTCTCATTGTTTCGAGTAGCAGTCGTTACCCAGGGTGAAGGATGGAGAGGGGGCCGTGTAACAGTAACGCGTGTGCGAGGTGGGGTACGTCGGGGTGGAGGTGCGCTGCGATGGGGGTCCAGCCGCCCCAAACTACGTTGGATCATTACCGTTACCTAGGGAGGGAAGTTGGCCCAGGTAACGGCCACTACGCGCAAAAGGATGAAAAAAACAATCTCCGCGGCAAACAACGGAAGCGAATCGGAAGCCGCACATGTCCTTTTCTCGGGGGCAGCAGGAATGGCGCAAGCCGCTTGCAGCAAGCCCGTGGGCAAGCCGAGCTGGGGAAAGACAAGAACGTAGCTGGGTGCATGCACTGCGGACTGCCCCTTGACCAGAGGGCTGTGCGTCTGCGCGACCGTCCTTCATGTCGTACTCGATCATGTGCGTAATGCGGGGGTGCTTGCCGAGGGCATCCAGAACCTTGATCTCGTTGACCTGGGCGCCGCCACATCTGAACGCCAGCTCAGCATACAGAACCCCAATCCGGGCATCAAGCCATGATCGGGGGCGGACAAGGGCGGGGCGTCCAAGAGTGGGGGCGCAAATCATGGCCGGCGGCATGTGCGCGGCCCAGGGGGTGGGCCGGGGACGCATTGAAACAAGAAAGAAGAGGCGCCATGAAATCTGAGGAGATATGGCGGCCCCCGCTATGATATCTACCCCCCCCCCTAGTCATCACCCCCCTCTTTGCCGCCCCCGACATGACCGGCCGCGGTCGACGCCTGGAAGCCTCAAGACTGCACTGGGAAACCTGTCCGACGGTCGCCCAAGCACCACCGGGTGGGCCCCGGGCGCTCGCGAACTTCCACGAGCGGGCGCCAGACCATCCCAAAACCGCCTCCTCCGCTGGAGCCGCACCTTGGCCTAGCAGACTGCATCCTTCGAGCAATGGATCGACTACAAAATTGATGTACCCCAAATTTGTTGTTCGTCGAGTCTACCACCAGATACGTAAAATAACGCTCGACACACTTTTCGTACACTCGACGAACAGATCGCTTTGGGGGATAAATCAATTATGTGACGATCTTCTACTCGAATTCTCCTACTCATCCCCATGCGCCCCCACTCCTTGACTGAAACCACGCGCGCTTGGCGCGCGCTCAGGTCCTCCTTTGCCACCGTGGTGTGGCCATCTGTGCAAGTTGCGGGTGTGGTGAAATGGCGGGTGGCTGGTGGGGGGGAACTGTGAAGCATGTATGGACGTGCGTGTGTTTCATCAGCGAGAGAATTCGTGGTGCATCGAGTGCGGGTATGGGAAATGTGTGTGGACGTGGTCGTGCGTAGAGTTGCGGATCTGCGTCTGATGCAGCGATGGGTTTCGGGCGGGGTCTGGGTTTGAAATTGGGCCGCGGGACTTGCGTGGGCATCGGAATGGGTATACGGCGGATGTGGGTGCTGGCATGGGCATGGCACTGGATTCAGGAGAAAAAAGCAAAGCTTCGTTCGGTATGGATATGGTAAGTATCATCGACGCCTTCGAATCCTCCTCCTCCTCCTCCTCCTCCAACTTCTCATCCTCCCCTTCCTACACTTGTGTATCCTCTCACTTCCTCCCTCCCATCTTCATCATGCTCGTCCTTCTCCCTTTCATGCTCATCCAGTTCCCCTAGCTCCTGCTAATTACTCCTCCTGCTGCAGCTCTCTCCTCCTCCGCCGCCGCCTCCCCCTCCTCTTTAGCCCCCCCATCGCCCTAATCCGTTCACCCTTCCTCGAAGACTCCATGCCGCATCACCGAAGAGATTCCGAAGCGCAGAACGGACCAACGTCACACAACAATGGGGCGCATGTCGCGGTCCCTCTTGGGAACTGTTCGGGGCCCTTGGCATTGTTGTTGGACTCGAGGGCTCTCCAGGGGACTCGGAGGGCACTGCGGCTGTCTTGGGGCCGTCTGGGAAGGTCGGGCGCCGAGGGGGGCCCTCGTCTTCACCAAAAGTGAAGCCATCTGGACGTAGATCGGGACCGTCCTTTTCCCTAGAGAAGCTGCAAAGACCCTGAACACTGCTTGTAAGGACGGGTGTCGGGTCCTCCAGATCCAGAATCGGTGGGCCGTGATCTCCCGCATGGCTTCCCGTATGGCTTCCCGTACGGTTTCCCCGTGTGGCTTCCCCGTATGGTTTCCCCGTATGGTCTCCCGTCAGGTCTCTCGTATGGTATCCTGTAAAATCCCCCGCATGGTCTCCCGCATGGTGTCACGGGTGGTGTCACGGATGGTCTCCCTCATGGTCTCTCTCGTTGTCTCCCTTGTAGACTCCCTATGGTCTCCATCATGGCCTCCCTTGGTTTCTTCTGCCCCCCAGACAGTGCTCGCACTTAGGGGCTCTTCCTTCTGCTCTAAGGAACTGGGCGGGTGTGGCGGTCTGGTGGCTATGTTGTCGACGTCGCCGCCCCGTCGCCGCCTCGTCGCCGCCCGTCGTCTGGGCCGGTGTGGCGGTCTGGCGGCCACGTTGTCGCCGTCGCCGCCCCGCCGCCGCCTCGTCGCCGCCACATGACTTGCTCCAAATATATTGCACAACAGATATTGCACCACCTCGATTGCACCACATGTACTGCGCCTCATAGACTACACCACATAAAAGGGCACTCCATCGATTGCATAACATAGATTGCACAGCATAGATTGCACAGCATAGATCGCACAATCTATATTGCGCAACGTAGGTTGTACATACAACCTAGATGGCAAAACATATATTGCACCACATAGATTGCACAACGTACGTTGCTCCTCCTAGACTGCACCGCATAGATGGCGCCACTTATGTTGCACCACATATGTTGCACGCCATAGACTGCACAACCTTTATTGCATCACGTCTAAAGATATATATATATATATATATTATACACACACAAATTGCACTACAAAGGTTGCACCACCAAAATTGCACACAACATATTGCGCATCATAGGTTACACCACGTAGAATGCAGAGCAAAAAATGCACCACATGTATTGCACAACATAGCTTGCACCACACCAGCTGTACCACGTGTTTCGCACTACGTAGATTACAACACATAGGTTGCACAACCTATATTGCACAACGTGAATTGCACAACGTATAAACCACATAGATTGCACCACATATATTCCTCCACATAAATTGCACAACATTGTTGCACCACACATATTGCACCATATACCTTGCACAGCACATATATTGCACCACTGAAATTGCTACAAATAGATGTCACATCATTGATTGCACCACATAGATTGCACAACATATGTTGTACCACATAGGTTGCACAGTGTAGATTGCAGAGCATAGGTTGCACAACCGGCATTGAACCACATCGACTGCACCACACAGGTTGCCCCACATAAGTTGCACTAAATAGTTTGCACCACATAGGTTGCACCACATATGTTGCACCACATATGTTGCACCACATAAATTACATCACATAGGTTTCTAGAAGCACACGGTTGGGGGTCCACGCTGGCGACCATAATACTCTCTAACGCACTCTCCATACACCATGTTTCACTTTCTGTCATACTATGTCTAGTGATCTCTCTGGTACGCTACAGACTTGTTCAGGGTATTCCGCCGCAAAGGGTGTAACCCCACCAGAGCTCATGGGAGCATCGGGGTGGGGCTCTTAGAAAGCCTGGGCGTGGCCATCGAGACTTATCTTCGGCTCGCTCGGGTTCCTTTCGAAGGCATTCTGCACCCCCATCGCGGTCCCACGGTCGAACCATCGTGGTCCACTGTCGAGTCAAAGCCGCAAGAATCGAGGGTCGAGAACACGGGCCCCTTCGCCGAAGGCCCAGTGCCACGCGGAGGCACCAAGGACGGAGAGAGCACTCCGCGGTGGCGGGCCCAGACACGAGGAACACGCGAGGGCACCCCTCCGAATCCGAGGGCTCCTCTCGAAGCTCGCGCCCCGTGCGCCGCAGCTCGTGCTCCCGCTTCCTCCCGCAGCCTGCCGTGCTGGCACGGGAACAACGGGTCCCGAAAGGAACGGGTCCTGGACCCTGGGTGCCTTCCCCTGGGGCCAGCTCTTCGGCCCGAGGCGGTCTTCGGCGGCGCGGAGGCAACGGTACACCTCGGACCCCGCTTCCCCGCCACCCCTGGCGCGCGGAACGAGGAGATGGACGCGGAAGAAGACGAAGAAGAAGAAGAAGAAGACGAAGACGAGGATCAAAGAGATGAGCAGGGAGCTTCTGGTCCTGACAGAGAGGTCAAAGGCGCCGGCGTCGACGGAGAGAACAGCACAATCCACAAGTACACAAACGTATAATTTCGGAGGTCCGCGCAGACTTCTTGGGTGGGAGCTACGCGCTACGCGGCCTATGGAAGGCGCTGGAGGCGCCGCCAGGGGGGGCCCAGCGCCGATCCCAGAAATTCGAGCGGCCCTCCGAAAGTTTATGCTCTCTTCTGTTCTGCTGGACGCCTCATGCCATACCGTGACGGGCCTACATGCTCATAAGAGCTTGTGCCAGACCTCCACCCTTGCTCTCGTCGCATGGCCGGCTCCGCCAGAAGCGAGGCGGGAAACATGGGTCAGTGTATCGTCCGATGCGACGGCCTCTGCGGTGAACGCAGACACGGGCGAGGCCCGGTGAACAATCCCGAAGTGAGTCTGGAAAAAATGGCACGATGCCAAACAGCCAACGGTTGCTCAAAACCGACAGCAGCCGCTGCTGGGCAGCCGGCTGGACAGCTCCCGCGGCAACGTTGGTGGCGAAGCCTGCTCAAAATGGGCAGGAACTCCTGCTGGTCTTCGTGCCCATGGCGTCCGTACCCATCTCGATCGCACCGAACGGTGCCGTCCTGTCTTCCACGAGCTATGGCGACCCCGTGGGAGTTTGGGCCCGGGAAGGGCGGGTCCCCAACGACGGGGGGGGCAGGAAACAGCAAGAGCTCACCGTCGGCCTCTGCTTTGCCAGCCGCAAGCCATCCCTCCCCATGGGCAGCGGCGCGTTGGGGCCCAGCGGGGTCCAGAAGGGCAGGAGGCCCTCTGGGATCTGGCCCTGCTCCTCGTGGAGCACCCCTGCCCCCCAGAGCGGCGCCCCGCTCCCGTCGGGGGCCGGCGGGGCGCTGCCCAGGGACCGCGTGCGCAGAGGCGCCCTCGTTCGACTCGAAGGCCTGGGGCGCGGGGCGAGGGGGGGGGGGGGGCGAAGAGCGGCGGCGGGGCCCCGAGGGGGGGGGAGGGAGCGGCGGGAGCGGCGAGGGGGAGGGGAGCGGGAGCGGGGAGGGGGAGGGGGAGGGCCCGAGGAGCGGCGGGGCGGGGAGGGGCAGGGGGCGGCGGGAGCGGCCCCGGCCCCCCAATGGGGGGGGGGGGCTCTGAAGGGCGGGGGGAGAGGGGCGTGCTGCGCCTCGACTTGGGGCCGGCGAGCTCTGCGAGGCGGCGCAATCGGCCCCGCGCCGCGCGGCCTGCGCGGGCCGCCGCCGCGGCACCCCGCGCGGAGAGCGGGGGGCGCTCGCGCACGACCCTGCGCGGGGGAGCTTGCGCGCGCAGGGCGGCGCAGGCGCCCCCGCATCTGGTGCCAGCGCAGGCTGCCGCAGCGCGTGCTGTCTCGAGCAGGCGCGGGGCGCTCACGGGCCCCAGGACCCCGCGGGGTCCCCAGCGCAGCACACCGTGGGAGGCCTACCCCCCAGAGCGGAGGGCGGTTGGACTCCGAGTCTGGCCAGCGGCCGCCGTCGGTGCTGGACACCACGTGCTGTCGGGCATCAAACCCATTTCGGGCGTCCACATCGAAGCTCAGCGCCCTTCTCCCCCTCAAAGGCCCCTCTTCGGAGCTGGGCTGACCGTTTGAGACAAAGAGCCGCCTGCCCAACAACGGCCGCCGTCGGTTTCGGATAACACTTGCGGTTGGACATCGTGCCCACTTCGGGCGTCCAGATCGAAGCGCAGCGCCACTGGGTTTCCCAGACGCTTTTCCTGGCAGCAGCTGCGATGTGCTCAGAGCAACGCGCACCGACCAGAACTCCTTGGGCAAGCGGCCCCCTGTCTCAAACGACCAACGTCCGCGGCAACGCCGACCGCGAATCCAGCTCAAAATGGACAGGAACTGCTTTCGGTCCTCGCACCCATCACGCAGTCTTATCTCTATCAGGGGGGTGTAGTGGCCGAAACTGTGCCCGACATGCTGCCCGAGGGTGGCCGAAACCAGCGCCCGATGTTTCCCAAACGCGCCGAAGTATGACCAACATCCTGGTTCTCAACCCAAGCTATTTTCAATTTCGGCCACAAGTTTTTGGTCACACTACGTTCTCGGTCGCAAGATCGGACACGTGTTCGGTCACCCTCTTTGGTCCCATACCTGTTCGGCTGATGGGGGCCGGGCGCCATGACATCATGTCCGCACCCATGCACGAGCGGCGAACATGTCCATCACTATCCGCGTCCTCGCGGCCTGGATTCTGGGGCGCGATCCCGCGGATACGCGGTCGCACGGCTGCGCTCCGCGCGGGGCATCCGTGAAAAAGCGCCCCGCATCCGCGGGGTCGCGGCCCAGAGGCCCGGCCCGCGAGGTCGCGGACACGGACGCGTCTTCCGCCCACGACCCATCTCGAGATCGCAACGCTCCGAGGGAGGCGTGCGGCTTAGAGCCGAGCAGGCCGAGCGCAGGCGCATGCTCCAGCCGCGAGCGCGGGGGAAGCCCGGGCCCGGCCCAGACAGAAGAGCCAGCGGGCGGCTAGGCTTGGGGGGCGAGAAGGGGGGGGGGGGGGGGGCAAGCTAGGTGCGCTCGCGCCATATCTGACATCCTGCCCCTCCCACCCATCCCCTCCCACTGCGCGGATTTCTTCTCTATCCGCAGACGCGTGTCATAGCCGACCTGGAGCTCCAACGAGGGCCCCTCGTGCTGTGCGCAATCGGAAAGAGAAGGGAGCTGCGTACTTTAGTGGTGGAGGTGGGGAGAAGAGAGGGAGGAGTAGGGGAGGAAGGGGCCGTCCTCTGGGGGCGGGAGAGGGCGGGGAAAGAGAAGCGGCCGTCCTCTGGGGGCACTTCCAATCCTCGGGGCCCTCGGGAATCGACCCGACGGGGAAGAACCTGGATGGCCGTTGCGCTTCCGCCGTGACGCAGAGCTTCTCTGGTTTGCCCACCAAGCCGATCGGAAGTGGGTCCCGCGCGAGAGTGACAGGTTGTTATCGTATCCATGTCGCGCAGATGTGTCCTGGAAATTTCGTTCCCGCCTTGGCACGGCGCGCGGCGCATGCTGTTCGCTTGCCGAGCCAATCGGAAGTGGGGCACGCGGCAAGCGGACGAGTAATGATCTGGAATCTGGGTGGACGGGTAGGTGAACGAGGGAAGAGCAGGAGTGGGAAAGAGGGGCAGGGAGGTCCAGGATACTTACACC